CCTAGCCAATCATTCCCCAGTCTGTATTTGTACAGGCAATTATTTCATCTTAAAAGCCCGACTTTGCACTTAAACTGATTCTGGACCATTTCTCCAGTCTATCCAGGTCATTCTGAATCCAAGTCCTGCTCTCCAGAGTGAATGCAATTTCATCCAACTTTGTATCATCTAAAGTTGGGGTGGGCAAAATTCAACCCGCAGCCCAAACCCAGCCCACAAAGGCATTTTGTCTAGCCTGCAGTGGGTCCCTTGGCCCCACCTGGCCCTGGCATGGGGTAACAGCTATGACATGCACATCCAGTCCCCCCACCCATAGGCACATAGCAGAGCAGCAGCCAGACTCCATTTCCCCACAGCCCCAACAGTGGCTCCTTCCAGCTGCTACTACCATCCAGCCAGGTGGCTGGGATGGGGCTGCAGGCAGGCAGGAAGCATCATCCAGGAGCAGGACAGGCAGGTGGGGCCAGGGATTGGGATCATGAAGCGGTGACAGCATGGGGCCAGGGCCTAGGGCAGAGCCATGATATGATGCTTGCACGCCCCTGCAACAGGCACAGGTCCCATGGGCAGGAGCAAGCAGGGAGCCAATCGTGGCTCTGCAGTGCGCCCTGGCCCTGCGCTGTCACCACTCCAAGATCTTGGACCCAGCTCCACCTGCCTATCCAACTCCCCATGCAGGTCCCAGCTGGTCTCCATAGAAACCCTAGGATCACTGGCCAGTGGCAGCATGAGGTCAGGGCCCAGGACAGAGCCACGATCCACTCCCTGCACGCCCCTGCTCATGAAGCCTATGTCCATCACAGGGCCGTGCAGGCAGCAGATCACGGCTGTCCCGGCCCCGCACTATCACAGCCCTGGGATCCTAATCCCAGCCCTGGCCCTATCCCCACCCACCCATGGCCCCATCGTAGCTAGCCAGCTGCACACAGGGGCCACTTAGGGAGTTTTTGTGAGCCGTGGCTGGGGCAGGGGTGGGGAGGGGAAGATGTTGACCTGCCCTGCAACAGCTCAGTAAAACTCCTGGCCCTCCAGCCAAAATAGTTGCTCACCTCTGATCTAAAGTGTGCTAAATATGCACTCAGTCTTGTTGTCCAAATCATTAATAAAGACATTAAAACAATACCAGACTCAGGACAAAGCCCGGGGAAACTCCACTCAAGACCTCCCAATTTCCCCACTCTTCCCTTTAATGAAATAAGGTAGCAAAAAGAAGGGGGGTGGAAAAAACTCACCAACCAGCCACCCATTGTTTCTTTCCTTCATTCAGAATCTTATTTACCCAAGATTCCATACAAGTGGAGAAGCCGGATAAGGAATCTAAATATGCAATCACTCAAACCAGGTAGTGCATAGTTGCATACCCTTTCTTCTTGGACTTACCTCTACACATTCCCATTCATAGAAGACTTAAAACCTGTACAACCTACAGAAGGTGAAAAATGCTTGATGAACTGCCGAAATTAGCATCAGCTCTGGATGACAAGTCAAGAAAGTATTAGAAATTATTACAATCTATTTCTCCTGTACTAAACAAAAGTGAGCATCACAGCCCACCATCTGGGACCATTACCATAGATAAGTGGTTCTCAACCTTTTTACATTTAAGGCACACTTTGAAAAAAGGCCAGCTCATCCCTTTCACTCTTTTTGATTATGGAAAAATAATGAAGTAGTTCTTCCAGCGCAAAAAACTCAAGGACCACAACAGATCAGGTTTCTGACACTATGGATAGCGTTATCTTGTGAATCGTGTAGAAGTCTGCACACCTAACAGGGCTAATATTGTGTGGCACCCTTAAAAGTATGTCACAGCACCCTTCTTGAGAATCACTGATATAGGTCGTAAGAGAAATGAGAAGGGAACTCCTGAAGCAGTATGTACCACCCTTTAGTTTTCTGCATTATGCCATCTTAAAAATTAGTCAAAACATAAAAGTGGCTCAAGTAGCATTAAAAAAAAGGACAGTCTATGTTACACTCAAGTTAAGCTGGTAGCAAACCTGCCCTTCAGATGGAAATTACAACATTTTTGAGTTTCAGGACTCACTCATTTTGGGTACAGATGAACATATCCTAGGAGCTTTGCACAGACAAGAAACACATGTATATACTACTGTGGACTGAAAGCAGAGACATTTACAAATACCTTAATACCTATCCCCCCCATCCTCCCTGTCTTAAGGAAAATAGGTTTCTTTTTCATCCCAAACATGTTGCTGGAGAGTCATCCTATAGAGATGGCTGTCCTATCAGTGATCAGGAAGAGGCCTCCTTTTAGGAGGGACGTAATAAAACAGGAATTTGCTCTATGAGAAGATAAAACAATCGTTCAGGTAGTAATTCTCATCTGAAATAAAGAACACTACTACACAACAAGAGCAAATAACTGGTGCCACCAAAAATTCCAGAACTTACAAGTGCTTTTCCAGCATCTGACTAGGGATAACAGCTGATGAAGTCTGGAAAAGGCTAAAAAAAAAAAAAAAAAAAAAAGAAAAAAAAAAAAAAAAAGAAAAAAAAAAAAAAAAAGAAAAAAAAAAAAAAAAAGAAAAAAAAAAAAAAAAAGAAAAAAAAAAAAAAAAAAAAAAAAAAAAAAGAACACTGATGGACACAACATGCTGTCAATCACATCCAAATAAAGGATGAGAGCCCATCAGTCATCAGTTACTTGTGTAAAGCAGGTTTTGGTATCAAAGAGGAGGCACAGGGAAATTCTATATGACCACAACAAAACCTCTACTGCCAAGACACCATCATGGTTCCACTAGCAGCTTGTACTTTTTTTCCCTCCCCTCCACACTGCTCAAGCAGGAAAAGCATGCAAATCCACTGATCATGCAACACGGTAAATACAAGCTATTTGGGGACTCTCTCAGCCAACATGTCAAACCTTTTTTGGACCCGAGGTGGAAATGTAGAAATGACAAAATTAAGAGTTTTAGTGATTTCCAGAAATTGTAAGTGGTGTGGCACCAACTGGGCCCTATCAGGTAGATCCACCTAGCTCGAGAATGAGAAAAGGATCTTCAGAAAGCATCAATGCCAAAGGGTTTTGAAATTCAGAGATGTCCCTTAAGATCCCTCTTTCCCCATGAACAGATATGCCCTATCATAGAACAGATAAAACTGTAAGCAGTGCTAGTACTACTGAGAAGGCAGCTGGGGGCAGAATCACAGCGCCTCTTAGAATTCCAGCCAGGAAACATGGACAACTTCACTAATCTGGCCATCAGCAGACAGTTCTCTAGGAGACAGAGAAACAGAACCAACACTGAAGTCAGCAAGGCCAGGCAAGCCTGGAGGAGACCTGCCCACTGCTTTGAGGCACTGAACCATTTTGACAAACCATTCACCCAAGCCAGGGGTGCTAGACCACCATCACCACCAAACTACTCTAACTCT